TTTTTTTCTTTTTCTTTTTCTTTTTCTTTTTTTTTCCCTTGTTCCTTCTTCGATGAAACTGCCCCGGCTCGGCCAAACTCGGTGCACAGTGAAAATCAGGGTCAGCAAAAACAGGTTTGGACATAGTGGTGGTTTGAATTAGATAGAAATCATAAAACAGAATAAGAATCATAATATTAATGAAAGGAGAAAGATAAAGTGACCATGGATCTTGGTTACCTACAACCATTATTATAATTCTCTTACTATGAGTGAGGGGAACCAAAAAACAAAAAGAAGAAAAGAGATAGAAAAACAAAAAGAAAAGGGGAAAAGAAACATAACCCCACGTGTCTTTATTAATTTTCTTGTTATTAAAAAAAAAAAAAAAAAAACACGCATTTTGGTCATGCTTTCACAGGTGGCGGGACATCCGCTAAAATTGGAACAATATAGAGTCAGACGCTTTAATTTGCGTCGTTGATTAAACTATTAATTAAATCATTTATGCATATTGAATTGAGTGCTAACTATTTACTTATTATAACATAATATTCCCCTCCCTTTCTGTCCCCTCTCTCCACATTAATTTATGGTTCTGTGCATGGACCCTCAACTGGTAACTTATATATACAACCACTTATTAACTTGAATTATTTATTAAATAATTTATTTATAATATTAAATTGAGAGCTAAAAAAAAAAGAATGAACTACTTTAAATAATATGATTCATCTTTCAGACTTGGCTGGCAGGCCAGCCCTTTGATATCCCTACCTGCTCTGTCCCATCTCCCCACCATATGCTTATGTTCATCAACCCTCAACTGCTGACTTATATGCACAATCACCCTTTCTCCCCCCCCTCACATGAGTGAACTGCCCAGTGTCCTAAATTATCATATCTCCATTTGTGTCTAGATATAAGCCACAACTACCTTTCCCATATGTCGGCCGCGGGCATCGTGTAGCCTACTCCTGAAAAATAGCTGCAACGCTGCCATCTATATTGTTCATCGACGGCACGTGGCGGCTGAATTTGAATTTGAGGCCCGCGACCCCACATATGAGAAAGGTAGTGGTGGTTTAACCAAAAAAAGGAAAGAAAAAAAAGGGGTCTTTATGGTCATCTGCTTCTGAATTGTCATTGGCACACACTTAGTTCTCAATCTCAAGCTCTCTCAACATTGCATTATCATCAAAAACTCCTGGGCATCCGTTAAAATAAAATTTGGAATGATACATAGAAGATTAGCGTGGGGGCGTGGGTGGGGTTGGGGGKGGGGGTGGGGGTGGGGGCGGGGGCGGTGGGGCGGAGGGAAGCAAAATCTCCTACCACCAGTGTGGCTTAGTCATCCCCCACCCACCCAGCCTATACTCTCTCCAATTCTGCCCCAAAACCTACAGTACAGTCTATAAGCCCTCCCATTCGGCCACTAGGCCCTTATTAATAAAACATCCTTTCACCGTTGTGAGCTACTTGAAGCACCTCTGATGTCTTGAATGGAGTCCAACACTCCCTTCAATCCTCCTTTTTTTTTTCTTTTTTGTTTAAACTCAACCCTTCAAATCCTACCTTTATACGCCTCCGACTCAGTCTCCCTGCAAGAATGGCTCCATACTCAAAGTCTTAGTCACTCCAGTTGTTCCCCCTTGATAATCTCCTTGGCTGTTCTGATTGACCTTCAAAGGCCTGACACTGATTTCTTGGTGATGGACCGACTCCGACAAGCCCCTGGAAGCCTTCGCCAAGTTGGGAAATGTCGATGGCATGACATCATGCTACTAAGTGAGAATGAGAAAACGCCCTTGGCTCCGACAAGCCCGTGGACGCCTTCTCTCATAGAATGGCATGACATCATGCTACTAAGTGAGAATGAGAAAACGCCCTTGGCTCCGACAAGCCCGTGGACGCCTTCTCTCATAGAACGTCGATGACATGGCATCATGCCACTAAGTAAGAAAATGGACGACGTCTTCTACCACAGGATGTTGATGACATGACATGGTGCTACTAACTAAGAAAATGGACGCCGTCTATCACAGAATGTTGACGACATGACATGGTGCTACTAAGTAAGAAAATGGGAGAAAAGGTTAACCGAACCCCCATTTTTCACGTCAATTTATAAGAAAACCATAAGGCCATTGTGGAAAATGGATGCCTTCTCTTGTAGTGACTCTGATAGTTGTGAGGTTCATGCCGATCCCCATTTAATGATTGTCAGGATCATGGAGAAAGTGGGGAGTTTCACGCCGATCCCCATGGTCCCACCCTTGAGCGCCGTGGAGGTTTGGAGCCACTGTGATCGGAACCGTTAAACGCCGTAAACATTAAATTTTCTTTGATGCTTTTGAAGAATACCGAAATAGCATGCGTGCATCGTTCTAGAACATTCCGACTCGCTTGAGCTGCTAGTACATGGCCCGGCCTTGCAGAAAGTTTTTTGTCGCCACAAGCAAAACTCGGAGGAGCCGTGCCGTACGGAGGGCCGTGGAAAAAAAAAAAAAAAAAAATCGGCGGCCTCCAAAGTGGAGCGGGTTTCGTGCTGACACCCGCGGGCCGATTTGTGGTGGACTGGTGCTTTAAAGTTTTTAACTTTAAGAGAAATAGGCGGCGCAGCGCTGGTCTGGTTCACCAGTCTAGCTTCATCTTGCACACTGACTTACTAGGCTTGGTTCATCTGGCTGTGGGTTTATTATCAGGAGCATGCCTGATCATTAATGTCTGTTCACCAATAGGGCTTGAGCTTCATGATCATCTGGCCCCTTGATTGGGTGAAGAGGCCCAGTTTTCAGTCACCATTTCGCTAACTTTTGTATATAAGGGACGCTGGACCAGGTTTCCAGCAGGTGCAGCTCCCCACCAATAGATGGAGCGGGTTAAAAAAAAAAAAAAAAAAAAAAAAAAAAAGGGTCGATGCACTTGGTGAGTAGTGCTGTGGGACTTGCAGTCGACCTTCTAGCTGAATATACAATGACCCGGACGTCTTCGGAATGCGGGCGTTGCTCCACCACCAAACTTGCTCCTTTCACCCTTCCACACTCACACTTGGTGACTGGTGGAGGTAGGCTTCTTTCAAGTGTGACTAGTTGAGGATGGCCTATTTCTGTTAATATTACTGTCTGGGTACAGCAAGCCACCTAGCTCAGTTGGTTAGGCACACAAGAGCCATTCAGAAGGTTGTGGGTTCAATGCCCTCAAACCGCCTGGGGCACACTTGGTGCTGACCGGCTGTGCCAGTGGGATAGTCCGCTTGCTCCCCCTGGTCGGTATCAGTAGGGTCTTTTGCCAACACGGGTGTGAGCATGCGTGTTAGTGGGAGCGCTACCATTTTCACCCGTGTTAGTGGGAGCGCTACCATTTTCACCTGAATAGAATGCTCGATAATTATGGCCGTATCTGGACTGAAAGTAGCATCAAATACAGCTATAATGACCGGGCATTCTATTCGGGTGAAGACAGTAGCCATAGACACTGCTGTTATCCGGTGGGGGTTAACTTTGGGGAAGAAGAAAAGGGAGGTGGGTGTGAGCGTGTGTGTTAGTGGGAGTGCTAACCTTAGACACTGCTGTTGTCTGGTTTAGGGTTTGAGGAAGAAGAAAAAGGAGGCGCAGCTACTTGCGAAATGATCCGTCTTTGTGTTAACAGGGCCCTCACCAGTGGCCCAAAACCTGTGCCCTAAATCAACTAGGGCACGGGGCAGCATGCAATATCGGATTCCCCTTCCATGTGAGAGGTGGCTATGCTTGCAGGGGTCCCCTGTATACCCTTAGGAGAAGTGGTAGGTGAGAAGTGAAAGGCAAATGTGAGAGAATAATATAGCTTAGTAGTTAAAAAAAAAAAAAAAGATGAATAAGAAGAAGAAGAAGAAGAAGAAAGCGGCTCCCTAATTGCTGCACAGGGCCTAGTACTCAGTCTGTCTTCCAGCGAACACTACACACCCTCAGGGCATACTCACACTGCCACTTTTCGAAATGTATCTGACCTAAACCCCGGACCTGGATGCACCTTGCATTTGATTGCAATCAGGTCCAGAGCTGAGTCCAAAAAGTCCTAATGTGAGTGCTATACCCTCACTGTGAACATTGACAAGACTTGGGGCTTTCTCACACCGGGACCTTTTCTAGGAAGCTCTGGCCGTGTTTGAGGTCAGATTCGTCCAGATCTGGACATAAATGCAGCCAGATACATCAAGGAAAAGACTAGTGTGAGTATGGCCTTAGCTGGGGTTTTTGGTTTGCAAAGATGCATTGTGTTCGGGGGAAGATGGTAGCCAACCAGTATAACATGGATGTGCACAGCATAGATGACCAAATGCATGACATGCACTTGGTCTGCTGTGACCATGCAACTGCGGAACCAGACGATCAGGTTACCCTATCTTTCTCCTCACTAAGGAGAAAACTTCGCAGCCGTGATAAAAACAGTTTGCACTTCAGGCATTCCCCCGAACATAACACGCCGGGCCCGCTCTTGAACGTACCGGACCAGAAAACTAGCTTGTATGCATTCCACATTCTCAGGCCGAGAATGCCTGAAGTGCAATTCCAAACTGTTTTCGTGACGGCCGCCTAGTTCCCCTTCTCCGTAACTTCTCCTAAACTTCCAGGAAACTTCCCCCCATGTGAACCAATAATGATCCCCCACTATACCCAACAAGTTGTTTGCATGACCCAAGAGCCTACAGTCTTACCCCGAATACAACGCACGGTCATTATAGCTGTATTTGATGCATCTTTCAGTCTAGATACAGCTATAAATACCGTATGTTGTATTCGGGGGAAGACTGTAGCTCAGTGTGTACACCCATGAACTGTTGAAATACGTACCCGAGTTCGAATCCAGATGATGGTACTTGATGAGTAAAACCAAATATTTCTGACTTGCCCGGGCCCGGTCAGCTCAGTGATGACATGACTTCATTCGGTGCATCGTTGGCATCTGCACTGCAAACATAGAACTCCATCACACACCCTCTTCTTTGACTTTTTTTTTTTTTTTTTTTTTTTTTTTTTTTTTTAGCTGAGTTGCTAGTGGTGGTGATACGAGCATCCACCGCTAGTAGCCCAGCTGCTGGCTCCATCACACACCCTCTTCTTTGACATGATTACCTGCACCCGGCACAAGGATAGTACCGGTCCTAGTGCTTCGGAGCATGGCTCTTGAGAAGGTCTTTAGCAATTTTCTGACCAGTTCTACATGATCACGCTCTTTGTGGAGCGCATACGCCAAATAGACGAGTGGAAGAGGACCTTGTATCTGGTGAGAAGTTCCCTGGACCTTTGTTGCCCTCTCGGCCGAACTACCCATGGTAGTACGAGTGGCACTGGTACTACTATTGGCACTCGTACTGGGACGGGGCGCAGCTGCCAAGCTACCGGTACTTGGGACAGAGATGTTTCCAAGTGTGAGTATGGCCACTGTGTCAATGAGAGTCCTCTCCAAAGCTTTCTGCAGCAAATTGACAAGAGAAACATAATAGGGAACACCCACAACATAGAAAGGCAGGTCAGTGACTTGGGAAAAAAAAAAAAAAAAAGATTATCTATCCTGCAAAAAGTAGATGGGAGGGGCAGCTACTGGCAAAATGTTCCGGCTCTGGGTTAGCCGCCCCCACCCCCCTACCGGCGGCCCCACCCTACTCCCTGACCACTGCTGATTAGGGCGGGGGGGGAACATGCATCCCCCTTAATTGTGAGTGGTAGCTAGTGAACGGTGAAATTGAGAGAAGAACATAGTTTCAAAAAAATATATATATATATAAAAAAAAAACTCAAGAGGGGTGCCACCAGCCCCTGAGGCTGGGCTAAAGTCCCACTAGTGGGGATTAAGACTTTGTTTCAAGTATTCTCCGGTTCCGTGATTTGAACATCTCAAGGACGCACAGTGGACACATTAAAAACTACTGGAAAGGAAGAGTAAGACCCCACTATACGTAACAATGGTAATCGGCTTCAATCCAGATCTAGAATAGACTTCATTCTAACATCTGGATAAAGCTCTTGTATAGGCAGCCATTTTTCCGTAGAGTCCATGGCTTGGTACTGATCACAAAATGTGTGTAGTTCTCCTTCGCTTCAGGAAGAAACGGGACCAAGGGAGGGGGTTTCATAAGCTGAATACATCTCTTTTATCTCATATTCAATTCATAACTTAGCAGATGTGTGGGAATATTGGTAATCAACAAGAGATAAGCATGATTCTTACATTTCTTCGTTTATTAATGGTTTGACTTTTATTGCAAAAAAGTGCAATAAATATTCAAAACTACACGCAAAGAATAGATATTTACACAAAATATATGTTTAAAACCAAATTCTGAAGTATGAATCTCACGAACAGTCAAGTGAGTTTTCCTAAACCATCGACATTCAAAAACTCAAGAGCCGGTTTTTGTCCTTTGCACAACATCCTTGGCAAGGACAACTAATCAGAGGCAAACTCTTAGAATTAAGTTATGAAAGACAGATGGATACATATTTTTTGCAATGGCTCGGGTCACGAGTCAAACACTCTATCATTATGATAAAAAATCTGTTTGATCATGAGGTTTCCCTAAACCCATATGTGTCTGCATCCTCGGTAGCTAGTCTGAATGACGCCTATGATTTCTTCAAAAAACTATTCCTTTCTTCCAAAGACCCAACCTATTTTCAAGAGGATGATCAAGTCATTCAACTCTTCTTGGAACCACTGTACCAATCTATCCGTAATGAACAATGTGACATTATGGAAATATCATTACTTGAGACAAAATTTGAAAAACTCGCATACAAATGGAGGAAGATACGACTCTTGGGTACATGATCTTCCTAAGAAAGTTTGAGAAACTATATGGTCTTCTTTGGGTAGATGGTCTTCCTAAGAAATTTTGGAAAACAATATGTTTGTTTTTTTATCTGACTTAATGAAATACTTTCAGGAGGTTTTGGAGTTAGGTTACATGGTTGAGATTATGAGCCAAGGAATATTTACCTTCCTTTACAAGAAAGGGGATAATATAAACATCAGAAGTTATAGACCAATAACTTTACTAACAATAGTTTACAAATTATTGGTAAGATCACTTGCAAACCGGATGATTTTTGCTATGGCTGATATAATTCATCCCTCTCAAACGAGGTGCATTAATGGTCGGCATATACAAGATAACATTCTCTTAATCAATGAAATGGTCAAACTCTTGAGCCAATCCAAACAAAATGCGAATTTTGTTTTCATAGACTTTAAAAAGGCCTATGACCATGTGGATTGATAATTCCTAGATGCTTGCTTGCAAAATTAAACTTGAACGCGAACATAAAAGTCTATGGGCTGTTGATGCTTAACCACAGCCGGGGTTAAGGTGGATTATCACTTACAGTGTAATCGGTTAGGGGATTCTGCAGACTGTTGAGGGTTCAGCCTCCTGATGAGTCGGTGAAACTCCGATGAAACAGTTTGCCACAGCCCCTCGTTTGCTGTCCTCTTCTCCCTCTCTGCCTACGGTAGTATGGATTCCGTACGTCTGGGCCCAAGCCCTCCTCCGTGCAAGCACAGATTCGAACCGGCGACCTCGGCCACAAGAGCCAAGTCTCTTAACCACTACAGCCAGGACACGGTGTTCAAAAGTGGAATCGTACCGGTCGTGATATCCACCCCACCCCTGCAAGGCTGTAGTGTCCAACTCAACACACACCACACACAACACCCACGGACACGGCAATTCTCGTACACTTCGCTACGGTTTATCGGGCTGCTCTGTTTGACTATATATATCGTCACATGAATATCAGAGCGCAAAAGCAAAAAAAAGAACAAAGAAAAAAGAAAAAAATGAATTCGTTTTTTTATCTTCTTCCTTACAACTCCCCCTGTTCAGACAAACAGAGCAGCCCGATAAACCGTAGGCAGAGAGGGAGAAGAGGACAACAAACGAGGGGCTGTGACAAACTGTTTCGTCGGAGTTATATATAACCGACAGTCTGTAGAGTTTTCCATCTGGTGTGGGTGAGTGATAGTCTACTTTGATTTTGGTTAAGGTAGATTATCATTTACAGAGTAATCAGTGAGTGGATTCTGCAGACTGTTGAGGGTTCAGCCTCCTGATGAGTCGGTGAAACTCCGACAAAACAGTTTGTCACAGCCCCTCGTTTGTTGTCCTCTTCTCTCTCTCTGCCTACGGTTTACCGGGCAGTTCTGTTT